CTTCCTTCCTTCCTTCCTTCCTTCCTTCCTTCCTTCCTTCCTTCCTTTCTTTCTTTCTTTCTGTCTGTCTGTCTCTGGTGTCATTTTGGTAACATTCTTTTGATCTGTTTGCTAGGTCTGACATTTTTGAAGCTCATACTAAGTTATAGGCAAGTAGCAGTTTGTGTTGGTGGAGGGAGTTCCCTGTGCTGACAAAATCACAGATCTGTTGAGTATTCCCACATGCCATCTCAGTCTACTTTTGTACCAGACATCTGCCATAGTAGTGGTTTCTGTGAAAGAAAAGCAATGATCTGTTCTATTCTTAGTACTTACAAGACTGTGTGGCTGTGGACAAGTCACTTAAGATCTCTGGGCCTGTTTTTTTTTTTTTACCTGTAAAATGGGGATAATAATGTTGGCACTAATAATAATACTAGTAGCTGACATTTTATAGTGCTTTCAGTTTTGCAAGACATTTTATATTTGGTCTTCCCAATAATCATGTGGGTAGGTCTTGTTATCTACATTTTACATATGAGGAAGCTGAGGGTTAGGAAGGTTATTATTGCTAATAATCATACAGCTAGTAAGTATCTGAAGCAGAATTTGAACCCAGATTGTGAGTCCAGTATGCTGTCTGCTATACCATGCTGCTTTCCACCTTCCTTACCTTTTTGTTGTCAAGAAAAACCCTAAACCTTAAAATTTATATAAATGTGAGTTCTTATTATTTACCCCTTAATCTTTTCCCTAATACCTTTTTTTCTTCAACATCTAAATGCAGAACAATGTAAAAATTTTTTCCTCTAATTGTTTGGCTAGGGGAGCACAGTTTCTATTAGTTCTCAGGTCTAATCATGTAGTCTGGTAAGGTCAAACTCAAATAGATATGGATACCTGTTGTGGCATATTTTGACTTAGAAAACTACAAATTAACATTATATTGTATTGTATTTTTATTTATTTAAAAAAAATTTCTTAATTACATTTTAATCTGGTTCTGACCTGATGGGGAATTTTGCCATGAGCTATGAGTTTGACATCTCTGCTTTAGAGAGTTCCATTATTTGTATATTACTTAAAGCAGTAGCTCTCAACCTTTTTGGTCTCAGGACCCCTTTATGCTCTTAAAAATTATTGTGGACCCCAAAGAGCTTTCATTTTATATGGGCTATATCTGTCAGTATTTGCCATACTAGAAATTAAAATGGATATATTTTAAAAATATCAAGATGTATAAAATAACAATTAACTCACTAAATGTTAACATAAATATCATTTTTGTAAAAAAAAAAAAGGAAATTTTCCAAAACAAAAAAAGTAAATGAGAAGAGTGGCATTGTTTTATACTTTAAAAGAATCTCATTAGTATCTGGATTAATAGAAGATATCTGCATTCTCATCTCTGTTTTTGAATTCAGTCTGTTGTGATTTGTTGTTTTGGTTGAAACATATGAAGAAAACCAAGCCTCATATAGATATGTAGTTGAAATGGAGAGGAGTATTTTAATAGGCAATATCTTTGCACTATTAAGAAAATTAAGGAAGTTTTCACTTCACAAACTTCCTGAAAAGGGTCCCCAAGGGTCCCCAGTAGTCTGTGGACTATACTTTGAGAACTACTGATCTAAAGGGTGCTGAATTTCAGTGCTATAATAATAACAACAATAATAATAACTAACATTTATATAGTACTTCTATGTATTAAACACTGTGCTTTACAAATATTGTCTCATTTAATCCTCACAACCACCCTGGAAAGTAGGTGCTATTATTATCCCCATTTTACAGATGAGAAACTGAGGCAAACAGAAGTTAAGTGATTTGCCCAGGGTAACACAGATAGTAAGTGCCTGAAGCTGGATTTGAACTCAGGTATTCCTGACTCTAGGCCCAATGCTTTCTTTATGGCACCACCTACCTGCCTCTGCTATGATAACATGTTCATTGTGTAAACATACATGGATGTAAAATCTTAAGGGTTCTTGAATATTTGTATGTTATATTTCTATATAGAGCCACATATTTATATACAAAACATAAATGGATCATAGCATCGTAGACAGAGCTGGAAGAGAGCTCAAAGATCATCTAATCTAAGCTATTTTACTGATGAGGAAACTGAGGCCAAATAAGATATGACTTACCCAAGGCCACACAAGTAGTAGTAGTAGACCTGGGTTTTATCCCAAATCCTCTGATTACTGAACAAATATTCTTTACTTTGAACCTTGAAATATATCACTTAATAACTGTATCAAGTGTGGATTAAGTCCATTAGAAAAAAAAATCCACCACAAAGTACTGGATTATTTAATAGGAAAATATTCCAGTGCCTTCAAAAATGAAAGGATTACTTAATTTTGAAGGTCTTTAATTTCTTTTGCTGGAATTTTATAATATGAAAAATCTTGTTAAAGGCTAGTACATATTTATAAAATTATATTGAAATAAATCACCACTTTGAAAAGATGATTTAAGAAGGTAAGTGGTATTATCTTGTATTTAAGTAGACTGCTTAGAAAGAGTAGGTTTCTATAAAAACCGAGATATCTAGGAATCTAAAACTTCTGTTAGTTAAGGAAGAAATGAATTTGGAAGCAGGACTTTATGCTGCCCATTTCTGGTTCCCTGGCATTCCTCCGTAACTATTAGTAGTGGGAGTAGTAGGATTGCTTTATTCCATTGCTGGGTTGAACATGATATGTAGATCCTAAAGGAAGACAGCTTACTGGATTCCAAATTAGAGGCAGTATTTATCTCAACTTAAGTTACATATGAATAAAAATACCAGTGAGGGTAAAAATTAAAATGACAACATATTTATATGGCTACAAAGTTAAAAAAAAAACTCAACACTCTCTTCACAACAGTTCTGTGATGTAGGTAGTGCCAATGGGCAGCTGGTGTTGTCTTCCATATTGATACCACCTGCAAATAAATGAAGTATGATCACAGCTTTAGTTGGCCTTCATGGTTAACCCCACTTAGAGAGCTTTATGGTAGTTGTGGAACAGTTAAAAATAATGGACAGCTATGGTCAAATTTGATTTTAAGAAAAGTGGTTGAAATTGTTAACTGAGCATGGCCAGTCAAGTCTTCAACTTCTGGGTCTGAAAACATCTGTAGATAAGCTCTCCAGGTGGGAAGCACCTGTGGTAAAAGTGGAAGATATATTTGAGCATCCTGAGAGGCCCCCTTCCTACACTCCCTCTCTTTTGCTCACTTATTATCACTTTTTATCATATCTTAGTTTAGGTTCCTTTTCTAAAATCAAAGATCCTTAGGAACTTTTCATCCAGCCCTCTAACATATAAAAGGCACCATGTTGGGGCATGACATCGAATCTAGATGGGAATAAGAATTAGCCACAGCGTAGTTTCATTTTATTTCTAAGGATCTTCTTACCTAAGAATTTTCATGCCAGCACAAATTCCAAGTAGAACAACAACCTAATTATTAAAATGACTCAATAAACAAAATTAGGGGACCATAGTGGAAAGGAGTGTTGTGTCTTTTAAAACTGTGGAGAAAGGGAAGACTCTTAACCATCTTCAAAGAAAAAATTTATAAAAGATGTTGTATAAAAATTTGCAAAATAAAATGAGTTTAGAGCAAGTAAGGACATTCACTGGGGAAAAAGTCTTTACAATACACATTTCTGACAAAAATAATACCTAAAACCTATAAAGAATTGACACACATTTATCAGAATAAATTCTTTCAGAGTCAAAAATTATTAACTGGGGGTGCATAGATTTGGGTGGGGAGGGTCTGTGACTTGGAATGGGTAAAAATCACATATTTATTATCATTAACATCTAACTGAAATTTAGCATTCTTTTTCAATTATTGAAAAATAATTCTGAGGAGAGGTTCTTTTGATTCACCAGACTGCCACAGATGTCCACAACATACACACAAAAATTAAGAACCCTGCTCTAAGTGGTCAGAGGGCATGAACAGACAGGTCTTGGAAAAATAAATTCATATTGTCAATGAACATGTGAAAAAAATTCAAATTAATAACCAGAGATATAAAAATTAATAAATCCCTGAGAAAGCCATCAAATTGACAAAGATAATGAGAGATGATATTTGGTACCATTGTGCTGCTGAAAAACATACACACTAAACACTGCTGGTGGAACTGTGAATTGGTTCCATTTTTTTTGAAAAACAATTTGGAATTGCATAATAAAAGTTGCAGGAACATTTATACCCTTTGATCTAGTGGTCCCACTATTAGGATTCCATTGGAGGTTATATAGCAGCAAGATCTACTAAAAAAAATTAGTGGAAAACTATACTTAATAATAAAAACAAAAATAAAAAAACACAAAAA